CCCCCCCCCGGCGTATGACTTGCATCCTGTGTCCTGTTGTCCAAGCGAAAGACATTCTCCGGAGATACCCACACACTCGTTCCATCGGAAATGGACGTGATCGCTATTACGTCTGGACTCATCTGCTGGACCGGGATGCACCTGATCGCAATTACGTCCATAAATAAAATAGAAAAGATTGAGCGTGAGTAGGCCCTCAGGTGGGCGGTTGGGCTGTGCGGCGGCACATCGGCTTGAAGACCACGCCAATTTTCCACCTCTACCGTCTTCACCCGAATAGAACGCCCCCAGGTCATTATAGCCGCATGTTTTCGGGACAACTGTCAGACCAGATGCAGCCATTATAATTATATATACTGACCGGGGGGCGTTCTATTCGGGTGAAGACGGTAGTGCGGATACGAACTGTGGGCGCAGCAGGTTATACGATGATGGCGCGCTACCGTCTTCAACCGAATAGAACGCCCCCAGGTCATGATCTAACCGAATAGAACGCCCCCAATCGGAAGGAGGTAGCTAGACCTGGCTGGCGCGCTACCGCCGTGACCCGAATAGAACGCCCCCATCCAACTCAAGGCGTCCGAGAGATGTCTTCGTGTACGGTGTAGCTAGACCTGGCTGACTGGCGACAACCGAAGGATCGAAAGGCAACCGCCACATTGTAATGGCTGCATCTGGTCTGGAAGTTGGCCCGAATACGGTTAAAATGACCGCGCGGACATTGTGGCGGTTGCCTTTTTTTGATCCTTCGGTATCGGGTCTTCCTACTATCATTGTGAAGCAAAATTTGCCGCCGAGTGGGGGATTGCTCACCACGGACTTGGAGCCGGGAGGGATCTGATTGATGACGTCGGCTCTGCTTTTTTTTTTTCTCTGCTTTTTTTTTTTTCCACTTGGGGCAATGCGATTCTAACCAGTGCATCTGATACCTGATGTGGAAGTGAAGATCTTCAATCATCATCATAAATCATCATCATGTAAGATCTTCAATCATCATCATCATCAATCATCATTATCAATGATCATCATCATCATGTAGTAACCGGCGAGAGGTAACGTTGCCGCTCTTGAGGGCGCCAATTGCCTCGTCGTGTAATTAGTGACGCGTAGTGATTGGATTGACGAGACTCCCGTTGCTCCTGACTGGGGAGCCTTGTCATCATCATCATCAGG